AGCTGAATAATGAAGCTGACTGCAGAGATCAACTGTTTTGCTTGACTTTTCTACTTTCTTTGACCAGGTTGCTATGTGGTCTCATGGTTTCTTCCTCTTGTCAGTCATACAAAGACTAAGCGATACATTGTTTCCATTTCTTAACACTGCACAATCTCCAGCACAGCCATCTTTAAGGAAGTGCAATTGGGAAAGACCCAATGGCCATCCCCCGTTCAATTAATGCTATTATTTTTAGAAAGTTACTAACCACTACCTGCTTACCCAGAACAGTGGCCAGTTTATGGCTACATTTTCATACCGTTGATCCATTCTTCTCCCTTGGAGTCCCCACTTTGCTTCACCTCTGTGATAGTAACCCTCCTGACTGATTGCAAGTCCCATTAGTCCTGCATCAGTCAGGTACACAAAACTGTCCAGAAGAGAATGCATTTGTTGGATGAATAAAGTAGATGGCTCTAGAGCTTCTGACCTTCCTTATTTTCTTCCTTACTAAACGTGTTTGTTCTCCCTTTCCCCTAACTGTGGGCAGTTTTAAAGCATTCATTCTTGGTCCCCCATCCTATTTATAATGCTGCCAGCACTGTGAACTAAACTAATCAGGTGGCTTCAATTATCACCCTGTGCAAGGCTCCTAGACTTCTCTCTAGAACACTAATCTCCCACTTCCAACTACTTATGGGACAGGTCCACTTTAAATTCCACTTCAAAATTTAAATTAAGGCACTTAGAGTCTCTTCTTTGGAAAACTGGATTTTCTTTCTGCCCAATTTCTGTTCCTTTTGTTGTCCACGTCTAAAACTATATTTAATTCTTTTTATTTTTTGACTTCCACATACAGTTATAAATCCCTTTCACGTTCCCTAATAATTATTCAACCCATTTCTTTTTTTTCATTGTCACCATCTTAATTCCCTCATAACTACATTGCTTAAATAACAAACTAATTGAGAAATTCTGTATTTTTGTTGTTGTTGTTTGTGAACCCCAGGTCAATTGTGTGCAATCACCTTACAAGAGCAGTTCTCTTTATATACCTCGTAAAGTTTATTCCCCACATCATTGTTGAAAATCTTCTTAAATATTACCTTTGTGGGGCTGAAGCAATAGCACAGCGGGTAGGGCGTTTGCCTTGCACACAGCCAACCTAGGTTCAATTCCCAGCATCCCATATGGTCCCCTGAGCACTGCCAGGAATAATTCCTGAGTGCATGAACCAGGAGTAACTCCTGTGCATCGCCGGGTGTGACCCAAAAACAAAAAAAAAATATTACCTTTGTGACTCTACACTTTCCTGATCAAACATCTTCAGACTTTCCAACATATGGAATAAAATCTTTTAATCCTCAGCTTGGCATTCAGGGCCTGTTAAAATCTGGCTTCAGCCAATGCTTCCAATCCTGTAACTTCTTTGCTCATACCTTATGATCTTGCCAGATTGGTGGGTCTCTTCAGTGGATCTGTAAAAACTTCTTTTCTGTTCCAGGCTTGAATTTTGTGGACACGATTTTTCTGGTTTGAAAACCCTTTCCACCCTCTTCCTCCCTATATAACATTAATCATCATGTCTCTGAAAAAGCCTTCAGAATTCATGATGATCTTGCTTTTTCCAACACCTGGAACAGCAAAGGAACAGTATGGAAAATTTATTGAGCTTCTGCTCTGGGTTTAGACCTCACAACTCTAGGTCTTCAGAAGGTAGCACTATTGAAGAAATGAAGTCCCCGGCACATAGCAAGTCACTGATTAGAACTGGGATTGGAATCTTTAGTTGAGAATTTTCCTGTCCCTTCCTGTGCACAGGTACCAGTATTTACATGCAAGCAGGTACTCAGTAAGTGTGCTGGGCCTTGCCTCAGGCCCTGGTGAGTTCTGCCTCCATAGGAGCACATCAGGCCTCTCTCTCCAGGGACTCGTCTCCACAGTCCTGCATCTGTTACAGATTCAGGCGAAAACCTCACTCGCTGCAACCCACTCTGAAAATAAATTTTGGCTTCAGTCAAGCTAAAACCTTTTTCTTTAAAGGAAAAAAATCTGATTCGAATCTGAGGAGGATTTGGGAGCTGAGGTCTGCTTGGAGATGAACACACCTCTGGGCTCGCTCGTCTTTGCTCTGTTTCCAAGTAGTCAGGGAGTAAAAATAGGCCGGCCAGTCACCGTGTATGAGGTAAAACAAACTATTTATAGTTCTGGAGGTGGATGCGAAGGCAACAGGAATAAAACTGTGTCTGCTCTAGAGGGAACCAAAAGTTTAATGAAAGAAGCTCAAAGTGACTCCTGAGTGGAAGGTGGGCTCAGAACTAGGCGTCAGGAAGGGGGGGGTGTGGGAGAATGAAAGGAGGGAGGAGAGGGAGGATCATAGAGGTGGTACCACTGTCCTTTCCCATAACTGCCTGATGCAGTGGGACCAGCCCTGCTCTCTCTTGCCAGGCGCGGGTCCTTCATCTCTACACGATTCATGGTCTTAGTCCTGCACTGCTTGTCCTGACCCACATCACAGTCCAGATCCTTCCAGCTTCTGGCCTTATCACCTACTTCCCAGGGCTTGCAAATTTGCTCTCATACATTCGATGCTGAGCGCTGCTTCATGTCTGACCCACATTCTCCATTATCCCTCGGCTTAGGGTTGCCCTCCCAGGGGAGGAGGACTCTAGAGTCACAGTTACATTTAGTTTTTAAAGCCCTTTACTTGGAATTACTGAGAACGCCCCCTTCCCTATCTTCACATGCGATAAAGATGTAACAATGGGCTGGAAAGAGAGGAGAGGGGTTAAGGCACTTGCCTTGCACGTAACTAATCCCGGTTCGAATCCTGGCACCGCATATGCACCCCAAACCCTGCCAGAAATGACCCCCGAGCATAGAGTCAGGAGTAAGTCTTGAGTACTACAAGGTATGGGCCCCCTCCCAAACAAACAAACACGACAAAAATGACGTGAGTGATAAAGACCAGGAGTGAGGCTCAGAGTCATAGATGAGGGTGGGTGAAAAGTGAGGGAGAAGAGCAACAAGAAGGGAAGTACCAGAGGAAAATGGGTGGGACACAGAAATCTTTGTGTTAAGTTTTGAAAAGTTATGCCCTTGAGGAAGGAAAAAAGTCACGCTGCAATATATATATATCCATACCCAGAGGACTATTTTTTTAACTGGGGCTTCGGGGGAAGGGGTTGGGGGAGGGAAGGGTGGGGGCAGAGCATAAAAGACTTGGGTACCAACCAGTAGGACAGGCCAGCCACAGGAAGGGAATAAGGTTAGAAAGAGGCCATGGTCAGAAAAAGGCTAAGAACACTGACATACGGAAGTTCCATTCTTTCAAATATTTGTATCACCTCTTTGCTTTGGCAGCTCTTCCGATGCTTCTCCATCTAATGCAAGGCAAAAACCCTTATGCATCCCTCAAAGACTTTATTTTAGAGGCTGGAGAGATAGTACAGCCGGTTAGGTACTTGTCTTGTATGCACCAATCCAGATTCAACCCCCAGCATGCCATAAGTCAGGAGTAACCTTTGAGCATCACTGGGTATAGCCCCCAAACCAAAATAGATAAATAAATTTAGAAATACCTTACTTCAAATGGATCTTCTCTGCAAAGCCTCCCCTGACCTTCTGAGACAGCTAACTGTTCACTCTCCTCTCCTCTGTGTGCACAGTTCTTGATAAATACATCTACTCTGCTTGTTATCACTTTTACTGGTAATTTTGTTTCTGCCTTTCCTGCTTGAGAACAAGGACTAATTGTCTTATACATCTTTGCATCCCCACGACAACGCCTTGCACTTTGCCAGTGTTTGCTGTTGCGTGATAAAAGACATTAGGAGCAACCTTGAAATGCCATTTGCTCTTCCCTCACAGAAATCAACTCGGTTCCTTGTACTTTTCATGTGGAACCACGTTTCCCCTTGATTTAGAAGAAATCTCTTCAGAGTGATATAGGAAATTCTATTCACTTGCATAGGAGTCAAGGTTCCATCCACACTGGTGATAGAAACATTTCCTCCCTTCACTTGCAGAAACTCCCAAGGCAGGCTTGATATTAGTGGCACATGGCCCACCCTACCATTTCCATTGTGGTGAAAGCTAAATTACACCATGAGCCCAAAGCTGCCATCAGTCTCAGTGTATTGGTGGGGGGTGGGGGGGGAGATAATTAAAAAAAGGCACTTCGGTGGTGGCAGATCTGGAAAGGAGTGGGGGTGAGACAGGGAGACGCATTTAAAACGTGTCTTGTAAGAAATGCATAGAAACTCACGCAAAACAGCCGCTTCCTCTGGACAGGGCAGACCCGATCCGGGAGTCCAGCAGTGACCTTTCCCCCGTTAAGTGTCGGGTCAATATCCCAGTCCTGCAAGCAAGGGTGCAGTGCCTTTCCGCGGCACCCCTCCGTCTCAAACCTGGTCCCTCTTAAGGCCTGCTTTGCCTTCGGGGGATTGTCCTCTCCCCGCACCGGCAGCCCCCAGTTCCCTCTGCTGCTGCCCCCAAGCACCCATCTTGCCTTGGTCCCGCAGGAGCGCCGAGGGGCTGTCAGGCCTCGGCTACGGGTGGGCGCCGAGCTCGGGACGGACCCCCGGGCTCCGGGCTCTCCGCGGGACGCGCGGGGTGCGGTGGGGGTGGGGGGGACCGCAGGCCGCGCCAGGCCACGCGCTGCTGGGGCGTGGGCCTCGAGGCAGGCGGGGCTCGGGACCCCGGGAAACTGCCCCAGCAGTGGACACTTCAGCCCGCTCGGCGCAGCCTCCCGCAAGTCCCGGCCCGGGAGCTGCCCCCGCAGCCCTGCCCGCGCACCGGGTGCGGGCCCCGGGAAGCCGCAGCTGATCGGTCCGGCCCCGGAGGTCCAGTGCCCAGTCGGGCGCGGCCGGCCGCCGTCTGCCCGCCCGGTGCCCGCCGCAGTGCCCCGCCTCGAGCGGCCCGAGCCCCGCCGTGACAGCTGGGCGCCCAAAGGGTTAAGCCTGCAGCGCGGCCGCCCGCCGCCCGCCGGCCCCAGCGCGCACGCGCCCGCCCCTTACCTGCGCTCGCCTCCGCGCTCCTCCTCCACCTGGCCGCTCTCTCCCGGGGGCCGCCCCTCAGCCCGCCCCTTCGGCTCGGCGCCGCGCACCCTGCTGGCTGCTCGGACACGGCCGGGAGGGGGGGCGGGGGCGATTACCATATATTAGCATACCGGCGGGGTCACGTGGCCGCCGCAGCCAATGGTCACTCGGGGGAGGCGGGGCCCGGACGGAGCACGCCTAGGTGCTGCTCCGGGCCTGAACCGGTGACCATGGCAACGGTGGTGTGGGGGTCGGGGAGCGGGGAGGAGCATTAGAGCCCAGTGGACCCCCGGGAGCATCTCTTGTCCCCAGAGACACCCCGCACTTTCCCCAGCCCGCGGGATTTGGTGGCGCCCAGAAAGATGCGAATGCTAAACCTTCATTGAGCGCTGACCACGTGTCGAACGTGTTTCTGCAGAATAGGAAGCTCAGGGTCACCCTGGGACGTCAGTAGTAGTAACTGTCTTTGGTAGAAAGGGAGGCGGTGGGGGGGGGGGGTCACAGAGGCTAAGCCCCTCACCCCCCCACACACAGCCCTACTAAATGGCAAAAGCCGGAGGAAACCCGAACCCGTTTCAGAGTTCAGGCCCAGGACTCTCCTGAGTTACTCTCTCCAGCAGGGGTCTTCCAGCGCCTCCTGTTACAGGTCCACCTAGCCGCTGGGGGGGAAATCCACACAAACTCCATTCATTATTTCCTTACAATGACCTTAGAGGTTACTAGACAAACAGATCAGTTCATATTGCAGTTTGTGAGAAACGAGACGCAGAGAAGTGTCACAGATCAAGTCTTATTTTTCTTAAGTGCTGCTTGATTACTGTGATTTGTAGTCTGGCTCTCTGTTTTATAAACTTTAAAATTCAGTCTCTTTAGGGCCGGCGTGATAGTATAGCAGGCAGGGAGCTTGCCTTGCACTCAGACAACCCAGTTTGATTCCCGGCATCCCATGTGGCCTCCAAGCAGCACCGGGAGTAATTCCTGGGTGCAGAGCCAGAAATAACCTCTGGGTACTACCTGGTGTGCACTCCCCCTCAAACTCCCCCACCCGTCCCACACACACCAAAAACCAACACTCAGTCTTCTCAGCACAGTAATATGTGTGACGGTGTTGCAGATGAGGAAATTGAGACTTAGGGCCAGATATGACTAACCCAGTGGCTGAAGCCATATTCCACACCTGCCTTCCATGTGCAGGACTTGAGTTGGGTCCCAGGTATTGCTGGCACATATAAAGATCTGGATTGACAGCTCTGATCTTTGTTACCCTTAGTGGTTCTAGTGGCTTCCAGCTACCCTCGCATGCAGGCTTGTGAGCATGGCAACTGAGGTTCCAAGTCCTGCCAAGCACCACTACTGAAAGCAACACATGTGCTGTTGTAAGCACGTGTGTCAAAAGGGTGACACACATCACCTAGTATATGTAAAGTGAGCAGAGCCAAATGTGTGGGCACCACAGCCAAGCCTCAGGCACCACAACAGCAGCGTGAATAGAGGGAAGAAAAGAAAAGGAGGGCAGCATGTTTACAAATCAGATGAAAAATAAGCTTCTCATGGCTGGGGGCAGAACTCAAAGGGCAGAGTGCATGCTTTGTAAGCAGGAGGCAGAGGTGCAATCCCTGACAAGGCATGGTTCCCTAAGCATTGCTCAGATCACCCCCTCAGCACTACATAAACAACACCCCCCCATACCTGTGATAAAAAAATATTTTGGGAAAAAAAATAAATGTAGATTTTTGGAAGTTAAACAAATTATCTAAGTTTCACAGCTAGTAAATAGTAGATTTTTTAACTCCAAATCTCAGTTTGAGTCCAAAACGAATTTCACTGAACCACATTCATTTAACTTGAGCTTGGACATCAACATCTCTTCATTAAAAGAATGTTCACCTCCTCATAAAACTTACTGTATTCTCTCTTAATCCTAAAGCAAAATTCCAGTAATATGTCACAATGTCACAAAGGCTAAATTTTGTCATAAAACTGTGTAACCTCTGCAGTGGGGACAAACACTTCAGAATTCTCTTTTCATTTTTAGTGCTAGGGATTTGAACTCTCAGCTAAATGCACAGTAGTTGAAACATATAATTATCTGCACAGGCTTTTCTTCTGCTCCTTCCTTTAAGTCAGTGATTCCCTAATTTTGGAGATGGGACTATGACTCAATTAAATATACTAAATTTTATGTCTATTTTAAGGGATAATCAATGTTCATTTTGAATATATGTACACTTCATTTTAGTGAGTTACCTTAAATGCAGTTTCCTCCTAACTAGGACTGTTGGCTGTTTCAGAGAACACCTGTGTTGGCTGACCTATTTGGATTGCAATTCTGACTTGGCTACTCACTGTGTGAGCTTGTTCTAGTTACCTAACCTCTCTGAACCTCAATGGTCTCATTTGTAAGAGGGACTAGGCATGTTGGGAGAAACAAGCAGATTAATATATAAAAAGCCCAAGCCTGGCTCAGAGGCAAATCCATCATAATTGTTATATTATTCACTTAGGAGCTTTCACAGGAGTAAGTAGACAATCTACATGTGCAGAATTTCTGAAGGCTTCCTGGCTGGTTTTGGAATTGTGAAGCTGCCTCTCATCCCTCGTGGCATATTAAATAGCCTGTTGTGCCGGTGAAGGCTTGTTATCTCTCCAAATGACATTCTCTCTTTGTAGGATCATAAATAATTCCTGGACTCAAAGGAGTTGCTTTCTCTTGCACATCTCCTGGCACCAAATTACCCCAAGTGGCTCCTTGCAGAAGGGGATCTTGAAAAACAGCGGAGCCATAAGTCAGGCTCCTTGAAACACTTTTATGAGTGCCTTAATGAGAGAAAGGAACTTGTCCCGTCCTTCCTGGCCACAGGAAATGAGCTCTTTGTGCTCAAAGGGTTTCCAAAGCTGAGGCGCAAAGGAGTTTTCAGGAAGTGGGCCAGGGATAAGAAGCTGTTGACTAAGAGAATTGTAGAGCTAAACAGCCCCCATCCTGTCATTCACCTTACAGGGTCAAATTACTCCTGGCCTTATTGTCTCAATAGCACCAAAAGGTGGTATTGTGTGTATGCGTGCACACACACTCACACACACACACACACACACACACACACACACACACACAATGAACCTCCACTGTTTCCCCCATGTAGTTCCTTCACCAACCACCCTCCCCTGACCTCCAAAGGCACTGCAGTGTAAAACAGTGTATTAAAAAAAATGTTTCTAAAGTCAAAGAAGCAAGTGCATATCCTGTTTCCATTGCATACTCTGTGTGACCTTAGAAAAGTTGCTTAATCTCTCTGTGTTCACATTCGTACAATAAGAACAATACTGTAGGGAACTACATTACAGGCTACTGTGGGCATTAAAGTCATTAACACATTGTGCTATCGTGTACATATAGAAGTATTTTCTAATTAAATAAAACATATATGTAACTCCAATACGAATAGCATATTTTCTATGGAGGTAGCTACATCCTTGAGTCAAGTGCTCTAGGCACTCGCCCAACCTCTTCTGACTTGCAAATAAATGTTGCCAGGCAAGAGGAAGAGTCTGATCCAGGCAGTCTAGTCAGAACCCTGATTCTGCCACATTTCTTACTCTGACAACTTTACCAATAGCCCCAAGTCACTGCTACTTGTGAAATGCCTAACATGCTCCATGAGCTACTCTAAGCATTTAATCAGACTATGATTAGGGTCCGAACTAGACTGAGGTCCTGCTTGAACCTATTCACCTTGCTCTTTCACTGACCTGTTTCTGGAGAGTATCTTGGATCTCCAAAAAAATGAAAATAAGGAACATTTATTGAGCATTTCCCCTGGCTCGCTGATAGATCACTTAATTAGTACTTACAATATGCTGGAGGTGCAGAGAGATGAAATACTTTGTCCAAGATTCCAATGAAGATCAGTGGCAGATGCAGGATTCAAGCTAGGATTGTTAGATTCCCAGATCCATGCTAATCATCCACTATGTCACAGGTTTTTAACCCCAGCATGGCTCCTTGAACTCAGGGATATGTGCTATGCTCTTTAGATTCCTCTATGTCCAAACACATACCCTCGTCACCAGCTCTTGGGTCTACACAGCACAGTACATGCTCCATGTCTTTTCACTGGATGAGTCAAAGTAGAGGACTGTGACATCCTCTTCTGGTGACAAAAGCTCCCCCTTTCCTTGGCTGGCCCCAGTAGGGAAGAAAGGCAGCTGGAAACTACTCCCCACCCCCAGCATCCTCTTGCTGCTAAATAATCAAGTGGAAGGCTTTCCTCCTTTCCCCAAGGGGGAGTCAGGCTTCTGGGTTTCTGAGATCTGCACTAGACACAGTGTGACTCATCTTCAGCGCTCATGTGGAGAGATGTCAGGGCTAATGGAGCTTTCTAGGGATCTGTAACATGCTGCCGTGGGAGTGATTTCCAAATAGCAGCCTTGAATAGGGATCTTAGCTCCATGGGCCTGCTGTCACAAAATTCCACAGACTTCAAACCACACAACTTTAGTCTCTCACGGTTGAGGAGACCAGAAGCCTGAAGTCAAGGTGTCTGTGGGTATCATTCCTTCGTGGCTGCTTGCCAGGGAATCACTTCAGTCTCTCTCTCTCTCTCTCTCTCTCTCTCTCTCTCTCTCTCTCTCTCTCTCTCTCTCTCTCTCTCTCTGTCTCTCCCCTAGCTTCCAGAAGTAGCCAGACCCATGTGACTACACTATTCCAACTTCTGCCTCCAACGCACATGGCTTCCTTCCTGTGTGTCTACATTCAAGTTTCTTTCTTTCTTTCTTTCTTTCTTTCTTTCTTTCTTTCTTTCATTTTGCATTTTGGGTCACACCCAGCAATGCTCAGTTGTTACTCCTGACTCTTCACTCAGGAATTACTCCTGGCAGTGCTCGGGGACCATATGGGATACTAGGAATCGAACCTGAGTCAGCTGTGTGCAAGGCAAACACCCTACCTGCTGTGCTATCGCTCCAGCCCTCAAGTTTCCTTCTTCTTATGACATGATATCTATTGCTGTAGGGAGCACCAGCCAATATGACCTCACTGTAACTTGACTATGCCTCAGAGACTCTATTTTCAGTGAGGGTACTTACCCAGTACCAGG